TAAGTTTTCATATTATCGTAATAAAATGTAAGTGAATATATGGATAGCAATTTTTTTTTAATTTCAAAATAAACAAAATACAAGTAATAGAAGTTATAAATAAGAAAATTTGTAAGAATTATTGGGAAAGAACTTGAATGTGCATAATAACACTTTAAATCACTAATTTTATATGAAAGTTGTAATTTTAAATATTTTTCATGATTTTTTTAATAAAGGAAGAAAGAAAACAAATATATAAAAAGGATGAGCTATTTCTTATTATTATTGACTTACCATTAAATAACCCAAAAAAACGGACATACTCAAATTTATATTAAGTGGCAAATTATTATTTTTTAAAATTAAAATATCACAAGTATTAAAAAAGTGAGTATTATTCCCCGTAAGTATTATTGTTTTCATAATTGAAATTGTATGACTCTTCTTTGTTTTATTCGAGTATTAATTTCTGTTTATTTTCATCCCTTTCTTTTGACCAGACGCTGATGGGTATTTCTTATCAGTAGAATCTATTGTTTTCAAATAATAGTCACTACCCTCAAAAGTAAAATGAGATTCTCTCTTTCTCCCAAATTACATATACATTGATTATGACATTATTTTTCATATAACCAATGTTTTTAAATCAACCACTTACCACTCTTGAGTTTTGAGCTCTAAATTAAGTTTTTGTTGCCAAGATTTTATTAAGTTTAATATCCTCTTTTATAAATTGAAAGAAAAAAATTGAAATTTTGAGTTACTCTTAAAGAAATCAATCTCTTGATTGATAGTCACGACAATAATATCCATTAAGACACAGCTAATAAAATGTGTATATTTTCAATTAAAAGGTTTTTTTTTATGTAAAATTTGATCTTTCTTGATATTTTTTAACCCAATCAAGCTAGAAAAGTATGAAAAGTGTATTTCAATATCATTATATATTGGGAAGGAATTGGAGGAATGTTAAAATTAATGATAAACCTATCAAACATAACTAAAATTCGTGTAAATTTGAGATTTTTCCATAAAATAAGAACGAGTATTTTGCATAGTGGAAAGAAAGAAAAAAAAGGTAAATTTTGAAAAGTTAAAATAATTGGTTTTGGCCGTGACATAAAGGAAAAAAATGAAAATTGATTTTGAGATTTTTTGGATTGAAAAAATTATTTAGTAATTTTATAATAAAATTGTCTATTATATGCATCTGGTCACTCCAAATATAAATATTATAGTTGTTTTTTTTTTGCACCAATATGATTTAAAATTTGAAGAAATATTAGGGGATGGCAAATTGGGCAGGCCCGGCGGGCCGGCCCGCCATAATATGGCGGGACGAGTTGGTGTTTTCAGTCCACCAGACCGCTGCCCGCCTAATTAATAAAAAATTAATTTTTTATTATAATAAAATTAATTATAAAGATAATATATAAAGTTAAAATTTTTAAAAAGAGAATTAAAAAAGTTTGACTCTCACAGAAAATATTCTCTTACTCGAAACACAACCTTCTCTCTTGTTCTCCTTATTCATCCTAAACACTGATTATTTTTATCCTTATGACTTAAATTAAAAGTGTAAGAATTACTCAACCAAGAATAATGTGAAGTTTTATCAAATAAAAAAGATATAGATATTTGAATTTTTCAATATAAAAAATATAAATTTTATAAGTTTTAACGTTATATATATATATATATTTGTTATTATTTATTATTATGTAAATTTTATTATTGTTCTAAATTATAATTTCTTAAAACAATGTATTGATTTATATTATTAAATTGAAATAATATATATATTAAATTATTAACAAACAAATAATAATCTTATTATTAAATTTATTTAAAAAAATTATTTTATAAAATAAATTATTTTTTTAAAATTATGGCGTGGCACTCGCCTTGGCGAGACGGACCAAGATCTACAGACTCGTCATGACTATATCGGGTCAGCCCGCCCCACCCCGCTTTTAACGGATCAAAGGCGGGACGAGCCAAAACGGGCTGACTGACCCGTTTTGACATCCTAAAAAATATGCATTGAGGAATGTTATATCTTATATCTACCCGTTTAAATTTGTTACTTAAAGATTAAAAACATTTTTTTAATTTAAATGACTAAATTATTTATTTTCGAGGAAGAACAAACTAAATTCGTCATAAACCCTAAACTATTTATACATTTTTGTGAATTACAAATTGGAATAAAGCATTTTGATGTTATTTTAGCAGTAACATAATTCATATAATGTTGTCATGTGACATCTAATTACGTGAAAAAATTACTATAAACAATAGATAATAATTATTAAATTAATAAATTTTAAAACAAGAAAGTTTTAATAACGATTTAAAAGATAATTTTATTTTTCTTGACAGCAACATTTTATTATTATTAATTGATAAATTTCAAAAGGATATTGTTGATAACTTACCTATTTATTATTATTATTATTATTATTATTATTATTTATAATTAGTGGAAAATTTTGTAAAAAATAATTAGTAAGGATAAAACGATATATATTATTTATAAACAACTAAAATACCGAATTAGAAAAATATTTATAAAATATTAATTTTAAATTAAAAGATTACGCATATAAAAAATTCAATATCTTTTATTAATAATATAGATAAATAGATAAAAGAGTAACCAATATTTGTCAAAAAAAAATTGCAAAAAAATATACTAAGAATATTTTCAACCTTTAACAATAAAATCAAACTATTGAAAATAATAACAACACACTTATTAATCCATAAATAATTTCATATTATTATAATATTAAAAAATCTACAAACAATATCTTCAATTTTAACAATAAAATCAAACTATTAAAATAATCAAATAACAAAACAGTTCATATTTTTAGATAATTTAAAAGATTCTGTAACAAAACATTTAACATTCAAAAATTTAAAAATTTTCATATTCTATTTTTCTCATCCATTTTCTCTTCTCCTCTCTATTTATTTATTTAAAAATTAATTGTCTGAACAAAATTTATTTCACACAACTGACACTTAAGAACTAAAATTGTATTTTTACAATACTTGAAAAATGTTGAGTGAGTTTATTTTTGCTTATCGTTTTAAAAAGTGATATTTAAATTATTTATTTAAAATTAGTAAATGGTTATTTCATAAAGTAATATTTTAAAAAAATGTATTCTTAAAAAATCATTAATATAGTAAAAAGAAAACTATCCCACCTAAACTATACATTTTAAATTTTAAAATTAAAACAATTCAAAAGTTTTATTTTTTAAAACTTTAAAATTCTCCATCCACACATATTAATAGTAGATGAAACTTGTATATTGCGCTTAATAAATATGCTTTATTTTAGAAAAGAATACAAGTTTTAGAGACTAAAATAGTAACTATAAAAATGATATTTTTTTACAAATGTAATGTTTTTTATTTAACTTGTGGTCTTTAAATATTTTTAGTTTTTTATTATTTTGGTTTAATATTTCTAATATATATTTTCAATCTATAAGTACATAACATATGAATAACATATGTTTTCAAATTTATAAAATTATAAATATTAGTATCTCTAAATTTTATTTTTTAGGTTTAAATTTATAATTGATAAAATTGAAGACTGGAAAATACTAAATTTATAAAGAGTTAAAAGAAATACTTATAATTTTATGAATATATAAAAACACTAATATAATTTAATTCCATTAGTAACAATAAAATATTTACAATTTTAAATTTTGTAAAAAATATTAAAACTTTAAAGAAATGAAAATATATATGAATTACTTTTTATAAAGACCAAAAACATATTTTTTAGTCCTCCACAAATATTTTTGAAATTTATTTTAAGAGATTAATTTATAACAAACAAAATTTTATAAATATAAAGAAAAAATAAATATATTAGAAAGATTAAAACGGAGTGTGAAATTAATGTTATTCCTCAAAGAAACCTAGACGAATTAGTCCTTCAACTCAGACAGAGAGAGCTGCACTCTCATTCGCCGGCCGTCACCGCCTCACCGCGCCTTGTAGTTGGGTTCATTGTGGCGGCGTAGCTTCATTGTTATAAATTACCTTTGTTGGAGAGGTTCGTTTGCATTGATTCCTCTCTTTCTCATATGTGGATTTCTATTTATTTTTTGAAAAAGTTCAATTCTTTCAATGATATGCTATTCTGTTATCATACGTTGTAATTCATTGAATTTTTTGTGTGATGTAATAGATGAATATATCTGACAAAAATTGGACTCTTCTTCTAAGGTCTTCTCAGATGAAACTTAAGCTCCCTTATGTTTTTAAGCAAACATTCACCTCATTTTTTACTTGTTCACTTCTTTGTTCTGTTACGTAGCGACAACTATAAGAGTTCTTCCCCAAAAGTAGTTGTATGTTGTTTAGGCAAATATATACGACGTGCCCCCAAATTCTCAAGGGTTCTACCATAAGTTGTTGTAAAAGTGTACTGCTTGCACTTTCATCGTGTTTATCTCATTTGTCTTTTCACTGCATGCCTTTTGTTTTGTTATTTTTAGGGAATAGTTTAGTATTAGAACCGTGTCTGTATAAATATATATGCATGTGTGAAGAGACATACCTTTGATGCTATTTTAACTTTGAAGAGAAGTGAGTGGTTTTATCAATTAGAAATGTCTGTGACTATCATTAAGAAGATCATACTCATGATAATTTTACATCCCACATTCAGCATTAATTTACAGTTAAATATTTACCAGATGATTTTGTTTTAGAATGAATAAAGAGAAGAAATCAGTTTCCTATCATATGTACTAAAGTTTCAAATGAAGATGTCTAACAAAGAAAAAAAAAACATAAATATGGGAAGTGGTTATCATGGGTTTGATTTAGGGTTTGTGCCAGTGTGACCTTATTTCACTACTTTGATTAGTTTCAGCAGTTCTCAGAAGATAAAACCAAACAGAAGGCTGGTGGGAGACTGAGAAGCACCATCGACAAGAGAATCTCAGCGTAAGAAGAAAAGTAAAATCACTAATTGAAAAATGGAGGTAGAGACGGAGACTATTGTGGAGAAGACGGAGATAATCAACAACGTAATGTGCCTTTTGACAGACCCAGATGGAACTCCTTTGGGTTCTCCTATGTACCTACCACAGAATGCTGGTCCTCAACACCTCAACCAGATTGTTAATAAGCTTCTAAACAATGTAACCTAGCTCCTTGATTCTTCCCAAATTCTATTTTACATTTGTTTCTTATTATAACGTTGAGTGATTATCTATGCTTTCATTTTAGGAGGAGAAGCTGCCATATGCTTTCTATGTATCAGACGAGGAGCTCCTTGTGCCACTTGAAACATACTTGCAGAAAAACAAAGGTTAGTCATGTTTGTTTACAACAAATTAATTTCTTATTTCTTTGAATTTACTCACTTATTTCTTGATTTAACACATTTTGAGAAAAAACAATTCTTATTTTTCTAAAGAATTGATCCAAAGAAAATAAACACTTGTAATGATGTTTTTCTTTTCCTTTGCAATGTACTCTAACAATATTTCAGTCTCGGTGGAGAAGGCTTTGCCTATAGTTTGTCAACCTCAAGCTATTTTTCGGATTCGTCCTGTGAATCGCTGTTCGGCAACTATTTCTGGTAAGCAATGTTGTATTATGCTGCTAAATCGTGAGAGAAAGCAATGTGGTTGGATGTTGAAGATTCTAGCACAATTTGTGTTAGTGTCATATTCTCTGGCATACATTTCCTGTTGTTGAGATTGTTTGTATTTTTAGGTCATGCTGAAGCTGTACTTAGTGTTGCCTTCAGTCCTGATGGGCGACAACTGGCAAGTGGTTCTGGTGATACCAGTGTTCGATTTTGGGACCTGAGCACTCAGACACCATTGTACACCTGCACAGGTTTGACATTTATTAATGATATGTTTATTCCTGGTATCTGCTAATTAATTTAACTAATGCTAAAAGGAGTTAGAATTGTTGGAGGTTGTTTATGTCATTATAGCTTTGGTGGATAAAAAAAGATTATGTAGACTAAATCTGTAATTACCCAGTAGTAGTATGCTACAAGGAAGGGGATGAGAAATACACATGGGGTAAGGAGAAAAATGGGGGATAAGGGGAATGCTCTTGCTATTAAATTTGGATCATTACTGAATGCGACACTGACAAGGAACAGTGGAAGGGGGGTTGTTGTTGCAAAGGAATGCAGAAATAAGAGGGAAGGATAAGAACTGAGTTAAGGCAGCAAATTACAGTGTTAGGGTTTGTTATTGGGAAAACTATAGGGGTCTATCTCTGCTGTAAGGAGCTATTCATCATCCATCCCTAAATTAATATTAGTTTCTATAGTTTCATGATGTTTTGGTTAACTTTAATGAGTCATATTATAGCTTTTTACATTTTATGCAGGACACAAGAACTGGGTACTTTGTATTTCATGGTCACCTGATGGAAAATATCTTGTAAGTGGGAGCAAGGCTGGAGAGCTTATTTGTTGGGACCCACAAACTGGAAAGTCATTAGGCAATCCACTAACTGTAAGATCTTTAACCATAAATACCAACTATTATTTTGGTTTGTTGAGTATTTACTTTGATATCAGATGTTAATAGCAGATTTGTTGTGTCATGAACTCATTATACTTTACTGTAGGGTCACAAGAAATGGATTACTGGTATCTCTTGGGAACCTGTGCACCTGAATGCTCCATGTCGTCGCTTTGTAAGTGCAAGCAAAGATGGGGATGCTCGAATATGGGATGTTTCATTAAAGAAATGTGTTATGTGCCTTAGTGGCCACACACTCGCAATAACATGTGTAAAATGGGGTGGAGATGGTGTGATTTATACTGGGTATTGTTTCCCTGCTACCTTCCTTCCAGTTTTTGTCAAGTTTAGTCTGAGGTTTTATTTGTACTCATCGTTAATTGCATATTCCTGCATACCCCTATTGAACTGGAAATATGAACTCATGTTGGTTAAATTCTCATTTTATGATTTTAACTCATGTTTTTATCTCTGAGATAATTTTTTTCAGTCATTTAACTCAACTGATCCTAATGTTCACTGATGGCTGCAGTAGGAGTTTTGATTAAATTAATGTGTTAATTATCATTCTGTCATTCTATTTACTGCTTGGAGCCTAACTGTGTTGTTTTATTACAGTTCACAAGATTGTACAATCAAAGTCTGGGAAACCACACAAGGGAAGCTGATCCGGGAACTTAAGGTGAGCCTCATCCCTCTGCAGTTGAAATTTTCATCTGCATGTTTTATTTTTAACATGTTTTTTGTTATGCACGACTCCTGTTTCTGAACTGGTGTCAACTTTTTCTTCATTTGGGTTTTTTGTAATATCTTTCATGTTGCTTTTATGCTTATCAGATGTAGCTACCAATTGGTATTTTACTATTTCAATCTTGAAGGTTTTCAGAGTGTTTTATTTTGATTCATTGTTAGAATGTTAGTGAGTTGCTTATACAATCATCTATATGCGGATACATCTTTTAAAAGATTTGACTCCCCACTCTCCATGTCCGATGACCAAGCTCATGTTTGCCAATGTTGCACAAGAAACTTTTTTATTTTAATTTTATTTAACCTGATTTGTGTGGAATTCCTTTTCTTTTTCCTGAAGTGTTTTAATAAGAAATCATGTTGAATTGCTTTTCCTGAAGTTTGTGGTGAATGTTGTGTTTTGTTCCTTTTGAATTTCTTTTTCTTGGTTATTTGCTCTTTGATCCTATATTTAGGAGGATTCCATGTAATATGTTTTGTGTCTACTAGAATTTCTTGGAAAGTCAAAAGAAAAGTTCTGGTACAGATGTCAGATTGTTACGACAATGAGTTTTTTATTATTAATTTTTGTATTAGATTCATGTCTTGTATGTTTTGGTATTAATTTTTAGGGACATGGGCATTGGGTTAACTCTTTGGCATTGAGCACCGAGTATGTTCTTCGCACCGGAGCTTTTGATCATACTGGAAAACAATATTCATCTCCAGAGGAAATGAAGAAGGTAACTGTTACTTTGTTTGATGGTATTAATTGGCTCTTTAAATGTAGGTTTTTAGTTACTATATCTGGACTGTCGTGCCTGGTTTGATTGGCATATTAGATTGGTCTATTGTATTGAATCAATAAAATAAAATTAAGAACTAATATTTATATTTTTGTCTATCCCTAAATAAATTATTTTTGATAGAGCTCAATGACATTGTTTTATTCATGTATCCAACTCCTTGTAACGAGATTAGGCTTGATTGTTGTTATAAAATGCTACTTGATGGAAATTATTCTTAATAATTATGATTTTTTTAATGACTGGCTTAATATTTTTCGATCTTTGTAATTTTGTATGCTCTTACGCCATTCATAAGGTGATTTGCATGATTTTTAGTATAGAAGGATGCATTTTATTTTTATATTACATTTTTCTCATGTCTGTTAATTCATGTTTTGAATCTCTGGGGTAAAATCTCTCTATTCTTATCTCCTTTTAGTTATCTATTTTGCATTCATAGTTATTATTAGAGAAGTCGTTTCTTTCAATTCGTTAAATATTTTATTTCTCTTTGCCTAACATTTCTCAAGTTATAACTATTACAGATTCCTTTCTCTAGGAACTTCTTCCATCTCTGTTATACATTACTAATACCATTTTATGCCACTGATGAGTATAGGTTGCTCTGGAAAGGTATCAAGCAATGAGAGGCAATGCCCCTGAGAGATTGGTCTCTGGATCTGATGATTTTACTATGTTCCTTTGGGAACCTTTCGTCAACAAGCACCCCAAAACTCGCATGACAGGTCATCAGCAGGTACAACTTTTTCTTTACATTGGGAATGAGTAGGAAAAATTTATAATAAATCTGAGATCCTTTTCTTGGCAAATGTATGAGGTCTAAACTCTAGTCATAGCAGGTTGTTATTTGCTGATGTCCATTTCTTGTTGTTTGTTGCTAGTTGAAATTGGTTATATTGCTATACTCCGAACATCTTTAGGCTTAATGATTAAGTTAATCTTTTCTTTCTGGCAGCTTGTGAACCATGTCTATTTTTCACCTGATGGGCAATGGGTGGCAAGTGCTTCTTTTGATAAATCTGTCAAGTTATGGAATGGGACCACAGGGAAATTTGTTGCTGCCTTTCGGGGCCATGTTGGGCCTGTTTACCAGATCAGGTACAAATAAGTGATTCCATCTTACTTACTACTTGAAGCCAAAGATATTTCATTTAGAACTCTAACCAAGTGTATCTTACTGTACAGCTGGTCTGCAGACAGTAGACTTCTTTTAAGTGGCAGCAAAGATTCAACACTTAAGGTCAGCATGGTTAATTTTCTATTAATAAATGATTCGTATCACAATTTTTTAGTTTGGTTTGTACATCAGAATACATCATGTTCATTTACAGCAGTAGAACCTTGACCTTACTATCATGTTTGGTGTTCCAGGTTTGGGATATTCGGACTCGGAAGTTGAAGCAAGATCTTCCAGGCCACTCTGATGAAGTATGTCTATGCTGATGCCAATGTTTGAGGTTTTTTTTTTTTTTTAATAAATATATTTTTTCGTTCTAGTCTCTGACCTAAGTTACTTTCTTGCGGTTAAGGTTTTTTCTGTTGATTGGAGTCCCGATGGAGAGAAGGTAGCCTCTGGTGGTAAGGATAGAGTGTTGAAGTTGTGGATGGGCTAGGCTAATTTTGGGATGAATATTGGAATCCAAAGTAAGTGTAATCTCAATGGAGTTACCAATGCGTAGATTTCATGGAAATCAATGGTTCATATTTTGCCAATGCAAGGTCCTCTTTAAATTATATGGACAACATATAAGATGTGTTCATCAGAAATAATACTCCACATTCAAAACATAGGCCCTGGACGAAGTTGCTCAAATTGAGTCTCAGAACGGTGGTAAAGAAGCTGATTGAAATGTTTGGATGCATCACATACTTGCGAGAATATATACCAAGATTTTTTTTGTTTTTCTGCTTTGAAGTCTTTTTGTTTTGGTCTTCCCCTAGCATTGTTTCTCACAACAATGGCTATCATTTGTTGAACTGTCGTAGTTGTCATTAGTATGAACTCAGAATATTTTGGGCAGTCATACACAAATGAAGTCTGGTAACAGGCGAGTGAATGTGCAATGGCAAGTCTGAGGATGGTTTTTTGTTGACCTTGTTACTTTAGTAGTCTTTGAATGGAGTATTTAAATTATGACATGTAAGAGAAAGTTAAATTGCATGTATTTAGCTCTCATTTTATTAACGTACGTATTTGGATTACTATTTACTGAAATTTCGAGAAATTTCCCCACTTGTACAGTCGATAAAAATATTTTTTGAAGATGCAGTGAAAAGTACTGTATATGGTTGTTCAATATTCACTTCTGCTTTAGATATGTAGACTTCAATTCTGCAAAATCTTGCGCGTCGAAAAATCAGTTAGTAGAGTTGCTCACTATTATTTTGCAGGTTAAATCACTGTAATGTTGAGCGAAGATTTTGTATAGATGAAATATATGGTTGTACAATTTTGATTCATGATTTTTTCAGGGTGTGGTGCAAGCTCTAAAACTGGAAGCACAAAACAAACTATTTTGGATCTTCTACACTGGCTTTTGCTCAGCTTAAGGCAATAAGCTTTACTACTAATTTATAATAACTAAAGGCTTGACAAGTACTTGAATGCTTTCTAATATAATGTAAAATTTCTTATGTTATTAATTTGCTAAATGTTGTGGAGATGCTTCAGTGATTATGAATTAGCTTGGTAAGTGAAAAGCATTAACGATACAAATTTGAAGAATGATATACTATAAAATATACAATTTCACACTCTGCAAAAACGTACACATCCAACATAACATATTTCATTATGCAAAGACAAGAAATTCAAATCATGTGAGTGGTAGTTTCTCATAGTTCCACTTTTGTTCACTTTCCAGGGACAAAGTTTGTGGCATAGGCCCAAGCATTGTTGTTGACTGGATCAGCAAGGTGGTCTGCAAGGTTCTCCAATGGGCCCTTTCCAGTAACAATGGCTTGAACAAAGAATCCAAACATGGAAAACATGGCCAACCTACCATTCTTCAACTCTTTCACCTTCAACTCAGCAAAGGCCTCTGGGTCATCAGCAAGGCCCAATGGGTCAAAGCTCCCACCTGGGTAGATTGGGTCAGTCACCTCACCCAGAGGCCCACCAGCAATACGGTAACCCTCAACTGCACCCATCAAGATAACTTGTGTGGCCCAGATGGCAAGGATGCTCTGTGCATGGATCAGGCTTGGGTTGCCCAAGTAGTCAAGCCCACCCTCACTGAATATCTGAGACCCAGCCTTGAACCACACAGCCTCACCAAACTTGACACCGTTGCGGGCCAAGAGTTCCGGGAAGACGCAGCCCAAGGCTCCCAACATGGCCCATCTGGAGTGGATGACTTCGAGTTCACGGTTTCTGGCAAAAGTCTCTGGGTCAGCAGAAAGGCCAGCAGTGTCCCAACCATAGTCACCTGGGAATTCACCGGTGAGGTAAGATGGGGCCTCACCGGAGAATGGGCCCAAGTACTTGACACGGTCTGGGCCGTACCATGGGCTTCCGGAAGAGACAGACTTGGAGGCAGTTTTCCTCATTGAAATCCTTCCACCGGAAAGCTGAGGGGTGGAAGGAGAAAGCTTGATTGCTTGGCCACCCAGTGATGGTGAAGAGAGAGCCATTGTTGATGCAGCCATTGTAGTGTTGTGGAATGTAAGTGAAAGTGAGGTGAATTGTAGAATAGTTGTTGTAATTTGGGTAGGCTAGGTAAGCTATTTATATAGTTGAATTGATAAAAATGTCTTATCTGAATATCTTATGAGATCTATATTTGAATTTCTATTGGTTTAGATTTGGAGTATCCATTCTTCTGCTCGTACTACTTTTTTCCTTTTGGATTGTTGTCTTGATTCCTTACACACATGGATCGGATATCTAAAAACATATCAAAATACCTCTTACACCAAATAAGACACTGCCATGTGGGATTTCGATAGGTTGCATGAAATAAATAAATTTCAGATTCCATTTGTTTGAGATTCACTTGTATGAAAGATATAGGAACTGGGAAAATGGTAATATTTGTCTCTCTGTTGCATCAAGTGAACAAAATAATGAATTTCTTGAAAACAATGAGTATTTGAATATGCTTTAAAAGCTTATTTGAATAAAGATAGACTTTATCACATTATGTTAACATGGATATTTGGATTATCAGATATGAAATAAAAATAAAATCCTGAACTTTTTTATGGTTGTCTGTAAATTAAAAAAAAAATGTTAAAGACACATAATTATATGAATTGAAAAAAAAACTGTGAAGAGAAAAAAAAGTAGAAATGAAAGAAGGTAAATATTTATTAAAATCTGAATTGAAAAATATTGTATAACCATTTTTAACATATAATTTTACTAATATTACTAATAAATTGTATAACCAACAATTGAGCCAACCAAAGTCTTGTTAGCTAAGATTTTGACCATAATGAGTCACCGAGTTTGATCATCAATTACAAAAAATATAATAATATTTCTAAGATTTTAGCATAATAATTTAAAACTAATAGAAAGATTTAAGGAGGAAATATTTGATTATGTATGACTATGACTCAACTTATTTTTATAAGGGATACTAAATTATTTTCATTAGTTGAATTACATGTTTTTATAAATAGAAAGATGTTCTATTTTTTTTTTTACTTATATTTATTAATATTTTTAAAACTAAACTAATAATTTAATTTAATTTGTATTACAATATCAAATATACAAATTAGATTATATATGGACAAAACACATGTTATAGAAAATAATATACTAGTTTTGCTAATACAACAATAACATTAACTAATTTAAGGTTACTTAACAATTTTTTTAAAACTTTGAATTATTCCTATTACTTCTCCCTAATATAAAATTGTTACGTTTGTTGAATTTAACTAGTTTCACCTTTTTGCACTATTTTTTTTATTGCAAAAAATTTGCTACGACAAGTGTGACAAGTTTTGTACTTTTGCTCGCTAGGTAAAAAATTGATGAGGAGATTAATAAATTATTTATTAGGTGAAAATTTGTTGTGCGGAATTTGATAAGCTTTGTTTTCATACTAGTTATCTATTAAGTGAATATTTGTTAAGGAGCTTAACTTCACCCTTTCATACTAATAGTTAGTAGAAAAATTTATTATAATGAATTTGATAAATTTTGTTTTTTCACTCTAGCTCTTTATTTGACGAATATTTTTTATGGCAAATTTATCTTTTCATACTAGTTATTGCTAGATGAATATTCTTTGACCATGAGTTGTGCTAATTTTATATTTCTTTCTTATTAGTTCTTAGTTCTTACAAGGAGACTATTTTTGACGGAGTATAAATTTAGCTTGGTGATATGTTTTTTGACATATCATTCTAAGTTCAAGAAGTTATTTTCTCAAATAGTTCTTCTAACTTATATGTATCATTTTACAAGGAGTTAATTATATGAATGATCTTAATTTGGAATGAGTTTTCCTTCTTTTCGTACTTCTTGGGCTTCTCCAACTTTTTCCTAAAGCTTCAATTATTTTGTATTATGTAAAATATTTTTGTACAATATTTATAACATCAATAAAATATTAAACAAATACTAGTACTAAAATTTTTATATCATGTTTTATCATATCGTATTGAAAGTATATCAATATTAAAATATTTGTATTATTTGAGATATTTAATCTTTCTTTTCATCTATTAGGATTCTTTTAAAGTTATAAAATCCTTAATTTTTGCTAATCATTCATAGATAGAACTACAAAAATATTTGAATTTGTGATATTAATATCCTGACAAATTGAGAATAACTATTAAATAATAATATCTCAATGTAAACACACATTCACAAAAATTTAATACTTCATTCACACACACAAAGTGTTTTATTATTTAACATTTAATTTTTTAATGATTAAATTGTATACCTTCTCAAAATATAAAACTATCAAGTGATCAATATACCAAAAAAATTTATTCAGTTATAGTAAAAATACTCCATCAAAGAGGACTTTTTTTAGAAATGATTTTTTTTTTTACGTGTAACCGACTTCATAAAAGTTAAAGTGAAAATATTTTGTATTTATTTCTCATAGTATGATATGGTACAATGACATTATTGTGTGTCACAATAGAAATTCTCTTAACAGAAATATTTACATGCTCTACAAGAAAATATTATATTACCGACAGATATGTAGCTATCGAAAAATAAGTGATTACTGACGGAAATTACCGATGAATTTAGAGTAGTTGTGAAATTTGGTCTTACCGACGGATATATCTATCGGTAAATCAACAATTAATTACCGACGGATATATCCGTTGATAAATTCATCGGTTGGTTAGTGCCCGAACCTTCACATGTTATTATATCTACTCATGAGCATGACATATTATTTTCATCTTCATTATAAAATATTAATAGTCATTTATTGTTCATCTTCTAAATTTATATAATCTACATTTTCATTCTCTATTGTGGAATAATAATTATTTTCTAGACAAAAATATTTTACTTTAATTACTTCTACCCTATTATCAATAATGATAATAATAACTTTGTCATTAATAAAGATAATTCATAAATAAATTATTAGACCTTAAATTAAAAACTAAGTAAATAATTAAGCTAAAAAATAATAAACGATACCATATATAATTTTTCTTTTTTTACATTATAAAAATTTATTTCAAAATTTATTCATAATTATTTGCTACAAAAATTTATATAACTACTAACTTCAATAATTATATTATAATTAAAAAATTGAAATATATAAAACCAAGCCTTTCAATTTTTTATTTTTTTAAATTATTAACTTAACAATCAACTATAATTATGTATCAAAAATAATATTTTTACCATAATTTTAATTTATAATTTAATAGTTAACTTCAAACCGTGATTATTTACCTAAATTATTTATTATTATTATTATTATTATTCATTAAACAAGTATTTTTATAATTATTTATAGTTTAATTAATTCTTATAATTAATTATCTTAAAATAGTTTTATAATTTTTGTTAATTATTTACTTATAATTTAATAAATTACTCTTAGCACACAAATATTTACCTAAAAACAGTTATGAAATTTTTGTTATAATAATTTAGTCATAATTTAATAAATTAACTCCTAATCCAAATTATTTACCTAAAATTAAATCTATAATTATTTTTTTAAACAAGTAATTTTATAATTATTTATAATTTCAATTACAAATAATTACCTAAAAATAGTTATGTAATCTTATAATTAAATACATTAACTCTAACATAAATTATTTATCGAAAAGAATAATGTAATTTTTTTATATTTATTTACTTATAATTTGACCAATTAATTTCTAACCTAAATTATTTATCTAACAAATACTCTTGTTACTTAAATTTGGATAATTATTTATAGTTCTAATAACTTTTATAATTAATTACCTAAAAATAGTTATGTAATTATTTTATTTATTTACTTATAAAATGAGCTCTTAACCCTAACTTATTCGCTGAGACAAATTTTGGTTCACTTTTTTTTAAATAATTTTTTATTCAATTATTTATGCTTCCAATACATCTTATAATAACTTGCCTAAAAATATATACATGATATTGTACAATTATTTAACCAAATTGTTACATTTATGTTCCTTACATTAGTACGTGTTAATTTAATAATTCAACACGAACCACACATATTATATAACAAATCGAAAAACTGTAATTTTTAAATAAATTAATAAAAGAACATTAAAATTATTATATTGAACATAGCATATAATAATGGAAAAAAATTAAACAAGTACATAATTGATTATGCAGCTTCTCGTATTTGATTAGCAACAACGATGTATATACTCCAATATAATCGAATACAGATTGGCTTATAATTGATTACGTTAACCTTTATTTGTAATAATAACTAAACAACAATTCAATAATAAATCAATACCAGCAAACAATACTTGAGACAACTAATTTTACATCTTAAATCACTAAAAAGTATTAACTTATCTTAGAAGAAAAGTGATCAATAAACTTAATGGGACTCACTATGAATATGTCAAAGTAGAACTACCTTTGTAAGAATGTTATGATTCCTTCCTTATCTCAATCAGACGTTAATCTTAACCTAACTTTCTTTCTCTTCAGATAATATCAGTGAATGTATGAAAAGAAATCATGCTAATTGTTGTATTTATGGTTAAAAAAATATCAAATGCTTCACGGTGCGTTCAACTCTGAATAGAACCATGAGTATGTTCAATGGCAAAAAATAGTGTTCTATGATTGAAGGTTTACTCTTTACTATGTATTAATATAAGTTGAAAAAATTAAAAAGGAATATATGAGGTATAGAAATCAGTATCTTAGGATATTATATATCATTATTTATGACTAGAATGACTTTGGAAGATAATTTTTGTAATTGTAGAGTGCACATTAAAAATTTGCATTCAGAATGACACAAAAGCTCTTAAGAGCAATACAAACATTTCCTTAATTGCTTCTTCATTTTACCTCTTCTCTTCCCAAATTTGGAGATATTTCCCTTTATATGGTTCACTACTCATCTTTTTTCATGTGAAATTAGTATATACAAATCACTAAATTTCTATGCAAATCCACTCCGCCATCTAATTGAGTGTACGTACATGAAAATAAACACAAAACACAAGCTAAATAAATATAATATTATAATTTGATAATATTAAATATTGAAATAAAAATATGATTGCCTTACTTTTACCCATGTTATTGTTTAGATAATTTTATTTGTTAATTTATTTTGGAAGTTTTTTTTTATTTTTTCAAACATATTTCTAAACATAATTGTCATTTTTATAATTCTTCAACCTCTTGTAAGAAATAATTATAAAAAATTACGATTATGGAGAAATCAAAATTCTGATTGCAGCTGTATAGATCAAAATTATAATTTTGGATTATTAGATGAATTACCAAGTAATTTAAATAAAAATACCAATTGTTTTTTCTCTCAATAAAATTTTGTAATGTTAAAAAAAAAATAAAAAATTCCTCCAAGTATGCCTTTTAGCATCCAGTAGAGTTCATTTAACTTTAAAATAGGATTCGTATTTGATTACATTTCTTGCTATGATTGAGTTATTTTTCAGTACATCAGTTACACAATTTTAGGATTTGGAAAGTATTTTTCTACCATGAGATTTATTAGTTTTTTTTAACGAAGGAATTAATGTTTTATGTTTTCTTTTTCTTTTTTAAATTAATTATTTTAAAGGTTAAATTTGATAGATGCAAAATTTATTGATTATCACAGTACTGTTTATTTAATCAATACTTTTAATTGATATTAGTATTATATGTTGATAAATAAAATGGATAAAAATATAAGAATATACAAAAGTCTAAATGTACCATAAAGAAATATAATTCACACATTCTTCTTGTTAAAGGCATGTATTAATATTTTTCACCAAATAACAAAATGAACACTATTTGCAAGCCAACGTATTTCTCTTCTCATTGTGTCATGGAAATTTTGTTCACTTTCCAGGGACAAAGTTAGTGGCATAAGCCCAAGCATTGTTGTTGACTGGGTCAGCAAGGTGATCTGCAAGATTCTCCAATGGGCCCTTTCCAGTGACAATGGCTTGAACAAAGAATCCAAACATGGAGAACATGGCCAACCTACCATTCTTCAACTCTTTCACCTTCAACTCAGCAAAGGCCTCTGGGTCATCAGCAAGGCCCAATGGGTCAAAGCTCCCACCTGGGTAGATTGGGTCAGTCACCTCACCCAGAGGCCCACCGGCAATACGGTAACCCTCAACTGCACCCATCAAGATAACTTGTGTGGCCCAGATGGCAAGGATGCTCTGTGCATGGATCAGGCTTGGGTTGCCCAAGTAGTCAAGCCCACCCTCACTGAATATCTGAGACCCAGCCGTGAACCACACAGCCTCACCAAACTTGACACCGTTGCGGGCCAAGAGTTCCGGGAAGACGCAGCCCAAGGCTCCCAACATGGCCCACCTGGAGTGGATGACTTCGAGTTCACGGTTTCTGGCAAAAGTCTCTGGGTCAGCAGAAAGGCCAGCGGTGTCCCAACCATAGTCACCTGGGAATTCACCGGTGAGGTAAGATGGGGCCTCACCCGAGAATGGGCCCAAGTACTTGACACGGTCTGGGCCGTACCATGGGCTTCCGGAAGAGACAGACTTGGAGGCAGTTTTCCTCATTGAAATCCTTCCACCGGAAAGCTGAGGGGTGGAAGGAGAAAGCTTGATTGCTTGGCCACCCAGTGATGGTGAAGAGAGAGCCATTGTTGATGCAGCCATTCTAGATTTTAATAAAGCAATAAAAACCTTTGTAACTTTAAGAGTGAAGAGAATGGGTAGTGGTGATACCTATATTTTCTTAGCACAATATATATATAGCTTAAAGAAGAATGGGTGCTTATCTTTGGGAGATCTATATCTGAGTTTCTATTGGTTTGGAACATCCCTTTTGTCCACTTGCTTCTTCTTATATCACTTTTCCTTTTCTATTGGTTTGTTTTCCATACCCTACCAACAGATCAAGTATCTCATAAAATATCCTTGAATCCCATTCTATCCAGTAAGAAATTGCCATGTGTGATTTTGGATAGGTTATATGTAATAATGAATGATATCTAAAGTTAGAGAATAGCAAAAATATACAGAAGTGGGACAATTGTGCATCTATTGCATTTTAAAAGTATCAATTATGTCAGAAGTATTAGCAAATACAAGTATTTTTGCATTGGTAAAATTTGCACTTTATTTTCTAGGTAGCTAGAATTATTTTGCTATTGATATAGTCCTTACCACAAGAAAATGAAATCGTTTATAGGGAAATTATTTTACAGTCAGATGAATTTGATTTTCATATGATATACCAAACAAAAAATTAAGTGGAATGAATAGTAACCAAACATTTTTCTTATTAGCTATTTCCAAACCAAGTGAACATTGGTATTCATTTGGCATTTTGGTTCTATCTAATTTTAACTGGTTGGGAAGTTTATTATGGCATGGACAATGAAATTCAAATATAGATACATGTACCAGTTTGAGTAATTGTATTCAACTTTGTTATAGATTTGCGCAGCAGAATGAAGTGATATTTGAGACATCTTCATAGTACTCAATGACAGGTTTCCACTAGTGCCATATAACTACTTCAATCCGATACTAGATAAAGGGCTACAGGAAACACAATGTTTCTGCAGAGAAAGGCTATGTTCAAGCATTAAAAAAACTAAACTTCACACAACAGTTACAATGAACTAGCACTGTCTTTTCTCATCATAGATACTTTAAAACATGTCAGTCATCGAGCAGAATATGTGACCATCATATTATTGAAACAGTATCATTCACTAAACTGCTACAGAAATCGAAAGTTCGATGGCAGGGAAGTTCAGTTCTGTTGAAGATCCTGTAGAGGTTTCCTCTTAGGAAATGCAGTCCTTGATATGATAGTGCCAACTTGCTCCTTCTTGGAAATTTTATTGTTCTCTTTCATGTCACTAGCTCCAAGAATATCCCTTGCACGTTTCACAGGCATACTCGATACAATCTTCAACTCTTTCTTCATAGATGATTCCCCGAGCTTAGGAATTGGTGTACACTTTGGTGGTGTTTCCAATTCATCTCCACAAAAAGTTCCTAGAAATAAAGGTTTAGAAAAATATCAGATGATTCCTATATATAAACAGTCACTTTGTACAGGTAAACTCTTGAATAGGCATTGCATTGTTTAACCAAAACTTATATACTTTACCTGATGCAGACATTTTTTGAAGGTTAAAAGTGCTTAACTTCATTTCACCATGTTGGGACATAGTTGGAGCATTCTCATCTGAATTTTGACCACTTGCATCATGAATAGAGTGGAAATCGTTGAGCAAATATTTTTCAATGCCATCCATGTCCCTCTTCATATTATATTGATTTTTGCCATTTTCTGCTCCAGTTACACCATCATCTTCATGATCATCAGAGTTATTAAACAACCTGGTAATTTCTTCCAGCACCGAATCACTTTCCTCTGTAGATTTCAGTAAAAGAACCAATTCATTTGCCCTATGCAGAACTTCCTGACTGTATTCTTTCTCCATCTGATCACTTGGCATCCTTTCTTCCATTTTGCAAGTTTCCACAACATCTCCAAGTGTAGTTCGATCACAATATGTTTCATCCTCAAAGCCTTTTGTTGCGGAAGGCAAAAGGTTATTGGACAAAATCTCAATGCATTCCTCTGAATCAGCATTCAGACCTGACTTCTCAACTTCTCCCTCCAACAAATGGTCTCCAACTTCCACTAAAGCAACCTGTACAAGATCCACATTCTTCAAGATCATTACACTAGATGTTGCATGCTGACTTTCATCAACTTGCTTCTCATTGGCATGAATTTGAATGTTCTCCTCCACATCACAAATTCCAATATCAACTTCCTTTGAATCAGCAATAAAGCCTGACTTCTTAATTTCTTCCTCCAACAAATAGTCTCCAACTTCATCACAAGCACCCTGTACAAAATCCTCATTGTTCAAGTCCATTACACAAGATGCGGCATGTATAAGTTGCTGACTGTCATCAACTTGCTCCTGATTGACATCCAACTGCATGTTCTCCTCCACATCACCGATTCCATTATCAACTCTAGCTGTGTCCGGGAAAAAAATTGTTTTGAACTGCAACGCTTTAGTCTCTGAATTATTTAGCTGGTTGGCAGAAAAATCAATCATCCTCTCTGAAGCTGGGCTTAAACTTATTTTTCTTGAAGATATAAACTTCGTTTTAGAGTTATCAACATTTTCTATCACAATGCCTGGAACATGATGGTTAGAGAGATTATAAATCATTACTTTAAAATCAAGGGAGGATTTTGATGAACTATCATTATAAATAAACTTTAAATATAAACAATTCATACCTGAAACAACCAGTTCATGAATATTAAAATCAGACTTCACTTCACTTAATGCATCGTTTGATAGAAACTGAACTGGTGTCCCATCGGAATCTTCAAAAGTAGAAGATTGGAGCTCATCTGTAAATTGTTCGACAGTCAAATTGGTCTTCCCGTCCTTATTGATGGCACGTATGGACATGTCAAGGCACCTGGTATCAATTTCAGATCTCCCATTTATAGCATCATCATCCTGAACATTAGAGTCGTCAAACAACCCAATAACTTCTCCCTGTTCTGTGTGCATATTGCACTCCTCCATAGATTTGAGTAAAAGATTCACATTGGCTGATGTGTGCAAAGCTTCTTGACTGTATTCAGCTTTCTCCATCTTGTAACTTTGCATGCTTTCTTTCATGTTACAAGTTCCTACATCTCCAAGTGTACTCGGATAAAAATATGTTTCAGACTGAAAGCTCTCAACCACTGAAGCTTCAAGGTTATAGGGAGAAAATCCAATGCATTCCACTGGATCTGCAATGGAACCCATCTTTTGTGGCGATTTCAACTCCTCTTCGCAATTATCTGCATATGCAGACATATGGTTCAGAAAGCCAGCTATAGATGATTATGAAATTATATTTAAAAGACGTAACCAATAAATTTGAAAACAAAAACTAAACTATACCTTGATGAATATTAAGACCACTAGACTTGACATCATTTTCTGGATAACTTTTCTGAAATTTATCTGGTGTGCCAACTGAATATTGGTTTAAACTAGAAAGAACATCATCTGCAGAATGTTCTGCAGTTAAATTGGTCTTTCCATCAGTTTTCTTGGCATCAACTTCAGATTCAGTGTTCAAGAGATTGTAGACATTGCCATTACAAATATTATCATTAGATTTCTGAACTTCTTCTACCATAGGGTGACCAAATTCCTCTTGAGAAATATGCATAACATTCACATCTTTTAGGTTTGATCCTCGAGGGCTATTGTGGTCACCTTGTTCTACAGCTTCCTCTTCTCCCGCCATAGATTCCTCTAGACAAACATGTAAAACATTCACTTCTTTCATGTTTGGCCCTTGAGGGCTATTCTGGTCACCTTGTTCTACATCTACACCTTCTTCCACTATAGGATCACCAGATTCCTCTTGAGAAGTATCTAAAACATTCACATCTTTCATGTTTGGTCCTTGAGGGATATTGGTGTCACCTTGTTCGACACCTACATCTTCCACAATACGGTAATCTGATTCCTCTTGAGAAACATGTAAAACATTCACATCTGTCATGCTTGGTCCATGAGAGCTATTGTGGTCAGTGTCACCTTGTTCTGAACCATTGTCTTCTTCCACCATAGGGAAACCAGATTCCTCTTCAGAAGCGTGTAAAATATTTACATCTTTCATGCTTGATCCTTGAGGGATCTTATGGTCGCCTTCTTTTTCCACCACAGGGTAACCAGATTCCTCTTGAGAAACATGTAAAATCTTAGCATCTTTTATGGTTCGTCCTTGAGAGCTATTGTGGTCACCTTGTTCCAAAGCACTATCTTCTTCCACCATAGGGAAACTAGATTCCTCTTCAGAAGCGTGCAAAGTATTTTTATCTTTCATGTTTGATCCTTGAGGGCTATTGTGGTCGCCTTGTTCTACAGCTTCATCTTTTTCCACCACAAGGTAATCAGATTCCTTTTGAGAAATATGTAAAATCTGCACATCTTTCATGATTGATCCTTGAGGGCTAATGCAGTCGCCTTGTTCTATAGCTTTATCTTCTTCCACCATAGAGGAGCCAGATTCCTCTTTAGAAGCATGTAAAGCATTCACATCTTTCATATTTGATCCTTGGAGCCTATTATGGTCGCCTTGTTCTTCAGCTTTGTCTCTTCCGTTTCCAATAAGATTATTTTTGTCACTCAACTTCTCAACTTCTTCCTCCCCGAAATGGTTGTTAAATTCATCCAAAACTACTGCCACGGTTGCTAAATGTAAACCTCCCTGACTATCAACATGCTCTTTATTGAGTCTACTTTTCATGTCTTCCTCAACCCCACAAATTCCAAACTCTTCCCTTGTTATTTCCGGGGACAAATTTAATTCAAATTCCAACCTTTCAATCTCTGAACCTTTCAAATGCTTGGCAAGTAAAACACTCCTTTCCTTTAAACCAGGGCTAGGAGTCACCAAATCAATCATTTCCACAATTTTGCCACCAACACAATGAAGGGTAGTGTCTTTCTTCGTTCCAGCATTTCCAGAACCTACAGGATCTTCTATTTCTTTTTCCTGTGTGCAAAACAAACGCAAATTCCACAGACCAACAACACAATAACTAACCAAATAACCAAACAAACAACTAAAACAGTCCCTAACATCATGTTCCTAAACAAAATAGAAAATAGATAAAACTTAGACGTAATTCCTTAAGTTTGTCAGTGATTGTAATTTAAACAATAGAAGTTGGCATGCAGTTAAAAGGGGTGTTAATATATTTTTATGATGTTAAAGACACTCTTATTTGTATAGCATAGAGGTGAGTACAAAAATATGTACGAAGTCTATAATATGAAATATTTTTTTTTTTCTGCAATCTTCTTCTCTTCTTCCCAACAATATTAAGTATAATTAGTAATATTCTCCAATTAATTTTTTCGACGAAACTTTATTTGGAATTAAATACCAAAAGCTCTCATTTTCCAAAAAAAAAATACTAGATGGAAATGGGTATGAACCTTGAAAAGGAAAGAGAGTCTGTCTGCCATGTCACTGTTCCTCAAATTTGCAGGGATGCCATGTTTCTTGCACAGGGCCTGCAGTCTCTTCCTCTTCATTTCATGAAAATCCATCTCTATTACTCTCAGTTTTGAACAAACAACTCCAAAACAAACTCCAACCTTTGCAAATTCAAACCAAATCACTGGAAAAGAAAATGATTTAACAACTTGGGTTGGTTTCTGGAAGTTACAGGGAGGAGCTTCCCGCTTTTTTGTTCTTTGTAACTCGGTTAATCTACATTATTAGCAGAACACCTTTCCAATGAACAGGGATGGTAGGTAATTTGAAACACACCATAGAAGTATTTATGTAGTACATGTTTTTTTACCTGCAGAAATTTGAATTCAAGTTTGAGTTGGGATTGTGACAATATTATCCATTTTTGAATTTGAAATTTTTTTATGTCAAGATCTGTCAATGGTCGGTGGCTTTACACGTGGATGATCACCAATGACCCTGCTACTGCACATGGTGTAAAAGCGGTGGTAGGTGGTAACTCTTTATTCTTTTTTTTTTTTTTCTTTATCATTTTTATTCATTTATTTTCTTAGGTTTTGCTTTTGGTTTCAGCGACATGTTATTATTGTATTTTTGGAATCTCTAGGATAATTTTACTTATTTTAATGTAAAATATTACGAATTTAAGATAAAAGTGTATTCTTCAGGATACTAAACCAGTATTTTGTTTAGGTTGTTGTTATTATTGTAATTTTATATTTTGTTATAAATAGATTAAGTAATTATTTTGTTATTTAGAATTTATTTTCTTTTCTTAGTTATATATAATTAAAGATTTGTATCATGTTAGTAGTTGAATTTATCAACTCTAATGAAATTATTGAGTATTGATATGTATTCTCTCCTCCAAATGTTAATATGGTATTAAATTAAAATATAATTTTTTTTTGTTTTTTTATTCTCGGATATTTTTTGATTAACCATGACCAATTTTAGCCAAAAATTTTTTTATACCAGATGATTTTATCAATTCGGCCAATCCATACTATGGTGAAAATCCGGTTATCATCCTTGTTTTTCCTCTCCTCACTGAAAATAATTATTATCAATGGGAGTGTGAAATGGTTGTCTCTCTCGAAACAAAGAACAAAAAGTGTTTCGTCAATGACAACTTATCATGTCCCTCGGTCACAAATCCATTGCATAATGTATTAAAATGTTGCAATTGGATGGTCATGCCATGACGCACCCGTTCCATGTCTTCTTCCATCAAACAAAGTGTGATGTGGATGGATAACTGAAGTTTAGAAGGATCTCAAAGATCGTCTTTCTCATGTAGACAAATTTCATGTTGTTGATCTTCAAGATAAGATTCTGCAATGCAAGCAAGGTGACTCTACTTTCTCAAAATACTATACAATAATGAAAATTTTATGGAAAGAACTTGAATTGTATAGAAATGTTATTCTTTGTACTTGTTCCTATTCTTGTTCGTGTGGTCTCCTTTTGAAATTGCAAAAGGAATATGAAGATGATTGTGTTATTCACTTCTTTCAAAACCTCAATGATGACTACTCTCAAGTTCGATTCCAAGTAACGATGATGGATCCTATGCCTTCAATTGATAAAGTTTTTTCACTAATCTTACAACACGAACGTGAATTTGTTGATAACACCTCTTCTTTTCAAGATTTTGCTATTTTTTCTGTTCAATCGTTTGATAATAAGTCTCAAACTCAAACTAAAAAACCTATTGGATTGAATAAACACAATAATTCTGCTAAGAATAATTCCAAGAACACAAGTTCTATGAAAAATGCAAGAAAACTAACCATACCATAGAAACCTGTTATTAGAGAATTGATTTCCCTTTAACTATCGAAAGAACAATCATGGTAGTTCTTAGTTTGGCTGAAGTCAATTCAGATTCATCTTCACAACAATATGATGTGGTAGATAGCACTAATCATGACCAATACAATTTTTTAAAGGACCAATACCAAGCTATTTTAGCTCTTCTACAACAAACCAAGATTGGCTCTTCCTCAGTCAACCACAATCAAACCTCTACCACTCACAAAATAGCTATTGTTTCTAATTCTCCTCCTTGGATCTTGGATAGTGGGGAAAAGGATCATATCTGTCCATCTAAATTTTTTTTTCATCATTAACATTTATACCACTTATCACAATAAAATTGTCAAATCATACCATTGTCCAAACACATTATTCTGGCACAATTCATATTGGTAATTTAACCCTTTTTGATACCTTGTATGTACCAAAATTTACTGCCTATCTTATTTTCATTCCTAAGCTTGTTTCAACCATTGGTTGCATACTTATTTTCTGACTCACGTTGCTTGATTATGTAGAAAATCAATTCCAAGATTATTGGTGTAGTTAAACTTTTGAATGACTTATTTTACTTACACGACTCCAGTGACTCAAATTCAATAGGCAATTCTTGTACTATTTTTCCAAATACATCTAATATAATGCCTAATGATACATTCATGTTATGACATTTCGGATTAGGACACACTTCAAATAAAATTCTTCAACATTTGACTTCCAAATATAGTAATATTATTTTTTATTTATTACATCCTTATGATACATGTCATTATGCAAAGCAAATAAAATTACCTTTTCAAACTAGCACAAGTCGAAGTTCCACATTTTTTCAACTTATTCATGTGGACATATGGGGTCCAGTTTTAGTTAACTTTATCAATGAATTCAAATATTTTTTAACAGTTGTTGATGATTTCACACATTTTACATGGATTCATCTCTTAGAACTAAATCTAATGTCAAAATTATTCTTCCATCATTCATTCAACTAATTGAAAATTAGTTTTTTACAAAACTTAAGAAACTAAGGTCAGATAATATAATGGTAAGAAGTTTATTCGTAACAATTTTTTTCTTCAAAAGGAATATTTCATGAAATTACATGTGTTAAGACCCCTTAACAAAATAGTATTATGAAACGTTAACATTAACACATATTAAATGTGACCCATGTTTTATTATTTCAAGCTCATTTGCCGATTTGTTTTTGGTCATTTGCAATTAAACATGTTATTCATGTTATAAATAGACTTCCAACTCCTTTTCTAAATTGGTTTATGACAAACCTCCTAACTCAATCAATTACACGACTTTAGATGTCTAGCCTATGTCAATACTTTGACTGATGGAAGAACAAAGTTTGACAAAAGAAGTTCAAAATCCATCTTCTTAGGTTTTAAACCAAGAACTAAAGACTATTTGTTATATGATCTTTGTAATAAATTTTGCTTTATATCTCGAAATGTTCATTTTTATGAACAATATTTTTTATACGCATCTGACAAATTGCATCATATCAATTCAAATTCTAGTAATGACATTACCAATACCACTCATACTAATTCGCTCCTCACCTTTGACAATTTGCATTTTAACACTTCTTTTGACAATGTTGATATCAATCTTTCTATTGATAATAATGCATCATTGCCAAATGATTCACTCACAGTCACTAAACCTGGTGTAAGAATCTCAATCAGACAAAAGAGACCACCTTCATACTTGAATGATTATCATTGCCCAACTATTTCGTCTTCTCACTACATTTTAAGTACCCCTTACCCTATACAATCTTACCTTTCATATTCTAAATGCTCACCTTCTCGCACAACCTTTTGTCTATCTATTTCTGTTACATCTGACCTAATAACCTTCAAAGAGGCGAGTCAACTTGAATGCTGGAAAACAACCATGATAGTTGAGTTACATGCTTTAAAGGAAAAAAAAACACCTGATTTAGTCTATCTCCAGGGAAGAAAATTGTAGGATGTCGCTGGGTTTACTGAACCAAATTCAATGCAGATGGAACTATCCAGAGGTATAAAACAAGACTAGTTGCCAAAGTCTTCACATAGACAAAGGGGGTAGATTTCTTTGAAACTTTCTCTCCAGTCATCAAATTGACCACTGTCTGATTCCTCCTATCTGTTGCAGTTTCATCTGGTTGGTTCATTCATCAACTTGATGTTGATAATGCCTTCTTGCATGGCGATCTCCATGAAAAAGTTTACATGAAGCCACCACCGGGTTTGATCTTATGTTCTCCTAATCTTGTATGTAAGCTACAAAAATCCTTATATGGCTTACAACAAGCTAGCCAATAATGAAAAACTCACCACTACCTTGTTAAAATTTGGTTTCATACAAAGCAATGCAGATCATTCTTTGTTTATCTAGAAAACCAAAGATACCTTCACAACTCTATTGGTATATGTTGATCGCATTATCATCACTGGAAATTGTCTTACCACCATTATTACCATTAAATAGAATATGCATATTCACTTTTGCATTAAAGATCTTGGTGAATTAAAGTTCTTCTTAGGAATTGAGGTTGCGAGATCTCATCGTGGTTTGGTTCTCAATCAATGAAAATATTGTCTTGAACTCTTGGCAGATTATGGTCTTACTGGTTGTAACCCTGCTCCCACTCCTACTACTCCATCTGTTAAACTTGTTGAAGAAGAAGGTGATCTTATTCCTGATCCTACTCGTTTTCAGACGATTAATTGAAAAATTAATTTACCTCATTAACACCATACCAGACATAAGTTTTGTTATTCAACAAGTGAGCCAATTTATGTCAAAAACCATGAATATCCCATCTGCAAGTTGCTATGCAAATTCTCAAATATCTCGCAAATGTTCCAAGTAAAGGTCTCTTTTACCCAATACACAACCCCTATCACATTCAAACCTTCTCAGACTTTGATTAGGCAACTTGCAGTATATTTCATAAACCTATTACAAGATATTGCATTTTTAATGGTAGTTCCTTAATTTCGTGGAATTTAAAAAATAAATTATTATATCTCGCAGTTCAATAGAAGCAAAATATCATGTCTTAGCCACAATTGTCTGTGAATTACAATGACTTCATTACATTGTTGTTGATTTATCTTTGGATCTCGTTCAGTCTTTTTCCACCTTCTGTGGCAATAAATCTGTTATTCAACTTGCTAAAAATTCATCCTTTCACGAACGTACTAAACACATCAAAGTATATTATCACTTCATTGACTCTAAAATTCTTAAA